TCTCTGCATCCTTGCCAACACCTGTGGAGTTAGTAATTTTTAATATTATTTAACTTTTATAGTAGAGAAACAAGTGATCTACATACCACTATTATAGTGCCAGGGTATTATGAATTTAACTCTATATACCTTTGCCAGTGAGTTTTACACTTTCATATTTCATGTCAGTTAACATCCTTTTATTTCAGCCTGAAGAACTCTCTCCAGCTGTTTTGTAAGGCAGGTCTTGTGGTGATGAGCTCTCTTAGCTTTTGTTTTTCTGGATAGCTCTTTCATTTCTGGAGGCTTGACTTGTTGTAGACAGTATTCTCAGTTGGCAGGTTTTTTTTTTTTTTTTTCTTCCAGCATTTTGAATATATTATCCACTTCCTCCTTGTTTATGAGGTTTCTGCAAAGAAATCCACTGTTATCCTTTCAGGGATTCCCTTAAATACAGCAAGTTGTTTTTTTCTTGCTGCATTAATAATTCTTTGTCTTTTAATATGTTTATTATAATCTGCCTTAGAGTAATCTTATGTTGATTTTCACTGGGGTCCTTTCAACCTTCTGTACCCGAATGCCTATATCTCTCCCTAGATTTAGGAGGGTTCTTGCTATTATTTAATTGTTCTTTCTCTCATGTCCTTCTGGAACTTCCATGATGTTAATATTCATTAACATGACAGTGTCCCACAGTTCATGTAGTCTTTCTTAGCACTTTTTCTTTTGGTTCTTCTAGCTTGCTAACTTCGATTAATCTGTCTTTAAATTCACTTACACTTTATTCTACATGATCAAATCTGTTGTGCCATCTACTGAATGTTTTACTTCTGTCATTATATTCCTCAGCCCCAGGATTTCTGTATATTCCTGTCTCTTCTTGAAGGGTTGATGGGATTGCCTTCAAAATCACAATCATCTTAGGATGGAGCCAGTTATGTGCTGCTGGTGGGTATGTTATCAGGGACTGGGGTGGGTATGGGTTCTGTCTGGTCCCTGAGTGGGTGTGACTGCCTCCACTACCTTGCTCAGTAGAGTGGCACTTGGGTGAGCATACACTATGCGACCACAGCTGGGTCCTCCAACAGTGAGCCCGTTACCAGGTGCATGGCAACTGTGGTTCCCACATGGTTTCTGAGAGGGACTGCTGTCTTGTCACTGGATGGGGTCTTAGGTAGATAGGACTGGCCTTGGGCTGTAATTGAGAGGGCCTGGACTGTGCTCCAGGTCTGTTACAATTTCTACAATCATGTTTGTTGTCAGCAGACCTAACTCTGGAGACACAAATGGATGTTTCTTGGTAGGGCTTGGGTGGGCTGGTCCCTGACCATGATTGAAGGGCTTGTGCCTGAGCATAGGGCCCTTTCAACATCTCCTTAATTGCAAATGTGTCTCCTGCCTCATACCTGTGCATGCAGGATTGTCCATGGACAGTGTTGGGATGGCCTGGAGCTAAATATAGGGCCCTTTCTAGATTCCTGAGGTGTGGGTATGTTTCCTACTGGGTATCTGCTAGTGCACTGCACTGCAGCTGTGACATATGGGGAACTGAATATAGGGCCTTTCAGAATTTCAGGAATTACAGGTGGGTACATCTGCTGGGACCTTGGCCCCTCAGGACTGCTGGCAGACTATGAGTATGAAGGGGTTGGAGTTGAGGATGTTACTGAACCTGAGTTCCTCTGCTTGATGTGTAGCAAAGCCTATCACTGAGACATGGAGTATGTGGCCAGGAAAAGATTTATTCAAGAGGCAGCCAAACAAAGAGATGGGAAGGTAGGCCTCAAATCTGCCTTCCCAAAGGGGGATAGTCAGAGATAATATTTAGAAGTTGTCTAGGAAAAGAAGCCACATTACTTAAAAGAGGTTTCTAAGTAGGGAAGGACTAAGGTCATTGTATTATCTGGACTTGTGTGGGGCTTCTGTATATGTTGTCATGAAGTGCATGACTAGAAAGTTGGGTCCCTAGCATGATCCAAGGGTGGAATTTTAGGTCCTTATATATTAAAGTTCATCTACTGGACACTCACACATGCTTACCAAGAAGGTTGGTGGTTCTGGCCAGGTCCTTGGTGAAATTTTGAGTCTCTGCAAAAACAGTTAAATCAAGGTTTTGTTAACATTCTTGCTGGCATAATCATCTCTGTGGAAACATTGTGTCACAGCAGGGCATAGAGCCTGTGTTAGCTCATAGTGTATGCGGGGAACAAACAGAATTTGGGTGAAAGTTACAGTTGTACTTAGTAGTGCTGTTAACCTTTGGTTACCAGTTTCAAATACAGGGCACTTTCCGGATCTCCAGTGTTACAGGTAGGAGTGTCTTCCACCCAGGCCCTCATACTGCTAGCGGACTATGGCTGTGAGGAAGCTACAGTCATTAATCGGACCCGTTCAATTTCTCAGGAGGCATGGGTGAGCATTTCTCCTGCCTGCTCTCTGTATCAACAAGACTATTTATACACGATGGTGGGGAATCTACAGTTTAACCTTTGGCAGACTTGCTTCAAGAGGCCCCAGGACCGTGGCTGAGAGGTGCTGGAGCCAGGTAGGGCAGCTTCAGGGTCCACAGCCTGCACCAAGGTCTGAATGTCTATTATCCAATGCACAAATGACAAAACCAAGCCAAACAGGACTACAGCCAAGTCCTCAAGGCTACAGAGCTATTTTCAGATCTGTAGATGGGGCCTGAGAAATGAGACTCTCCTACTATGTCCCTGTGCCCGGAAGAACTAGTTGACTACAACTAGGATGGGCTGGACCCAATTTACAGGGCCCTTTCAGAATCTACAGTTGGATGAAAGCTGGTGGGCTTATCTTAAAGAGCTCCAGTGTTCATGACTACTTTAGAGTCCACAGCCAAGACCAAGGTCAAGGTCTCTATGTCTGTTACTGGACGTAGAGATGGGTGTGACTGCTACCAAGGTCCTTGGTGTATGGTACTGGTGACAGCCCCAGAGCCAAGTGGGGCTATTGGCAAGTCCTCAGGAGTGTGGAAATGTTTCTGTATCTGAGACCCTCGTCTGCCAGGAGCTGCCTGGGTGAAAGCCTGCCTTCTTAAAGGGGCTCTCCTTGGTCTTAGACTGCTCAGGGATTTCACACTTTCCTACCTGGATCCCAAAGCTCCCAGGAATGCACTTTCATAGGTGGATGGATGCCAAATTATTGTTGTTAATGGGGCGAAATACAGGGGTGACACCTTATTGGGCTATGTGCTGACATCACTCAAGGATACCTGTTTTTAAAACATTAAGGAATGATTTGACTTCTAGAAAAGGCTGAACCTAATCATTTAAAAAACCAAAACTCTGTACCTGTTAAACAATAACTCCATTTCCTATTCTTCCCTGTCAACCATTATTCTGTTTACTGCCTCCATTACTTTGATTAGTCTAGGTATCTCATACCAGTAGAGTGATTTTTGTGACTGGTATATTTCCCTTGGCTTAAGGTCTTCAAGCTTCATCCAGGTTGTGGCATGTGCCAGAATTTCTTCCTATTTAAGGCTCAATAATTTATTATAAGTATATATCACAATATCCATTTATGAAACAATGACACTTAGATTTTTTCCTACCTTTTGGCTGTTATGAATAATGCCGCTAAGAACATAGGTTTACAAATACCTCTTTGAGACCCTGCATTCAATTATTTCGGGCTTCTATACTGTTTTCTATAACAGCAATACCAACTTACATTCCTATAAACAATGCACAAGGCTCCAGTTTTTCCACGTCTTTACCAACAGTTGCTATTTCATGTGTGTTTTAAGTGTGAGGTGATAGCTCATTAGTGATTAGTTAGGTTGAACATTTTTTTGTTGGCAACCTCCCTTTTACTATATCTTTGTGCAGATGTAAATAACTCCTGAAGGTTACCACTTTTTATTCTTCTGTATAATATACATGTGTTTATATGTGTCTCTATGTAATATACATGTGTTTATATGTGTCTCTATGTAATATTTATTATTCTACCCAAGGAAATGGTTAGATTTTCCTTTTCTTCAAATCTGTACTACCTATATGGGGAAGTGTTCAATTTTATTAATACAGGCTTTTCACATGTCTTGTTAGATTTACTCCTATTTTATACCGCAGCTCGACTTCTAAAATCTCTTCTAGCTGCTTGGAATGTGCACAAACTATGCACTATATGTTTGTCATAATCTTTATAATATTTTGTCCGATTTTCTTACAATATTTTCCTGTTAATTCTTTGGCCATACTCTGTACGTTCTTTTCCAGTGATTAATTCTTTACTAATACCTCAAGGTGCTAAATAATATATTGTGTTGGCATTTCCTAATGTTCTTGTTGACCTTAGAGGGAATCAGTCTGTTTCTCAATAGGGAAACTAGCATTGGGGGGTCAGTGACAGCTTTGATTAAGTTGAATATATATTCATCCATATCTCAGTTTTATAAATTTAAAAGTCATTTCTTAACTATTGTAGTTTTGGCATAAGATTCACTTAAATTCTTAAATTTGCCAATATTTGCTAAAATTATACTTAGAAATTTTGGATATCAAGGCATATATGAGACTTGTTAAATATATTTTTGAGAATCTTTGTAAGATTTGGGAAATTTCTATTCTTAGAGAATAGCTATGTCAAATGGACTTTTCCTAGTTGTAGCAGTTGTATAAATCATCTCTAATGACTTAATAAAAGTTCACGGCATGCTCCCCTCTTTTTTTCTCAAGCCCTTCGTATCCTTCCTTGTTTCTATTGCTAACTTAAGTTCAGGAGCCTGAGGATAAACAGGTAATTATATGTTGGAGACAGTGAACTTCTCAATTAAATGTACATGCCTTGCTGTGGTTCCCTCATCTAGCAGATCACAGCATGTAAATATTTTCTGCTTCCATCATTTGGGACCCTGTCTGCTTATTATGGAAAAAGAATAGCTTTTCCCATACACTCAAACTTGAGTACATAGTAGGAAATCTAATCATTTATGGGGATTGGGAAAGTTGGTTTTGTTTTTTAGTTTTTGATGTTTAGTATCTCTTAAACTACAGGTGAAGTGATGACTGCATTTCTGCCTGGAGTTGAGGTCACAGAATCACAAACCCAAAGTCTCCAAAAAGTGCTGAAAGCAGAAAACTGCCAAGAATACTCTACCTGGCACACTTGTCCTTCAAAGTGGAGAGAAGTTTCCCAGGCAAGTGTAGGCTGAAGGAGTTGACTGGCCTTTGGAGATATGTTAAAGCAACTTCTTCAAGCTGAAATGAAAGGACATGTAATTCGATTTATACTTTCACATGTTTTCCTGTTACCAACTAGTAAAGGTAAACACATAGTTAAATTCAGAATATTCTCATGTTGTGTTGGTGGTGGGTAAATCACCCTAACTCTAGCATGGAAATTACAAGTATTAAAAATAATTGTAACAAATAATTTGTTAATGGATATACAAGGTAAAAATATGTAAATTGTGATATCAAAACCAAAACATGAGTGGGGAAAGTAAAAAATATAAAGTTTTCTCAGCTTATGAATGTTCATGGTAGCCACAAAGAAAAACTTGCAGTAGATCTATGTATGCCAGACAGCAAGTCATAAAGGGACAAAATAATGAACAAAATGGCAGTAGTAGTAAGCACATACCTATTAATAATTACATTGAATGTAAATGGACTGAATTCTCCCATCAAAAGACAGAGTGGCTAAATGGGTAATAAATACAAGACCCAAGTATACGTTACCTATAAGAGACTGACTTTAGCTTTAAGGACACATACAGACTGAAAATGAAGGGTTGGAAAAAGATCTTCCATGCAAGTGTGGCTAGAGTTATAAGATAAAGAGGGTCATTTTATAATGATAAAGGCATCAAACCAGAGCATATAACATTTGTAAATACTTAGGCACCCATGATAGGAAGACCTAAATACAGGGACAGGGATAATAGTAGGGGACTTTATCAGGACAGAAAATCAATAAGAAAACTTTGGACTTAAATTATACCTTAGACCAGATGGCATCAACAGACATTTATAGAACATTCTATACAACAGCATCAGAATACAAATTCTTCTCAAGCAAACATGGAGCATTCTCCAGAATATAGCATATGCTAGGCCAGAAAACCATATCAAGCCTCTTGTCTAAACATAGTGGTTAAAACTAGAAATCAAGGATAAGAAGAAAGCTGGATAATTTCCTTAATATTTGTGGATTGAACAGTTTGTAATTGAACAACTGATAGGATAAAGAAGCCATCAAAGGAAATAAAAAATATCTTGAGGCAAATGAAAATGGAAATTCAAACCAAGCCCAAAGTCAGAAGAAAATTTGAGCATGAATAAAATTGGAAATAGGAGACATTACAACTGACATCACACAAGTACAAAGGATCTAAAAGACTGCTACAATTATATCCCAAAAAACTGGGCAAGCTAGCAATGGAACTTTCCTAGAAATAGTCAACCTACCAAGATGAATCATAAAGAAATAGAAAACCTGAAGAGACCAATTAATAATAAGGAGACTGAAACAGTAATCAAAAACCTAACAAAAGTTGAGAATCAGAAGTTTTCAATAACAAATTCTGCCAAACATTTAAAAATTACCAATTCTTCTCAAAGTATTCCCAAAAAATGGAAGAGGAGGGAGCACTTCCAAACTCATTTCATGAGGCCAGCCTTACCCTGATACCAAAACCAGACAAGGACACTACAAGAAATGGAAACTACTGGCCAATTACCTGATGAATAGAGGTGTAAAAACCCTCATGAAAATAGTAGCAAATTGAATTCAACAGGGCATTAAAAGGATTTACACAGTATTACCAAATGGGATTTATTCCAGGGATGCAGGATGGTTCGATATCCACAATATCCACAAATCAATCAATGTGATACAGTACATTAACAAAATAATGGATTAAACTCCTATAAGAATCTCAATAGATGCAGGAAAAGCCTTTGACAGAATTCCATGCCCATTCATGATAGAAAACTCTCAACAAAATGTTTGTAAGGGGGAAGAACCTCAACATAGCCCACAGCATACTCAATAGTGAAAAGGTGACTGCTTTTCATCTAAAATGAGGAATGAGACAAGGATGTCTCTCACTCGGACCACTTTTCTTCAATATAGCACCAAATGTCCTTGCCAGAATAATTGAGAAGTAAAAATTTTGAGGAAACCTGGTCAGGTACATGTCTGTTTTTCTCAGGATTAGATTCATGATAAATGATCTATCACTGGAGGTGTTAACCTTGAACACTTGGTTAAGGTAGTGTTTACCAGGTCTCTGTATTATAAAGTTACTATGTGTCTGTGTCTAGCCCAGTCCCAGAGGAAGGGATAAATTAATCACCTCCTGGGAATAGGAATATCCTCCCCTATTATTTTGTATTTTTCTACCAGGAAGATTTGTCTCTCTCTCTATATATATATATGGAGAGAGAGTTTACATGATTTAAATATGTGTGTATATATATATAAAATCTTACATTGTAACATATTTTTAATTCAACACTGTGATACTTATTTTGTTGCTCAAATTTTTTCAGCTTTTGCAACTGGGAGCAAATTGCAACTGGTCTTAGATTAAACCATATAACCCTTTCATTTATTCTGATTTTTTTTTCCTGATAAAGATTTTATTTGAGAGGGAGGGCTAGCATGATTTGGAGGAGGGGCAGAAGGGCAAGCAGATTCCCTACTGAGTATGACCCTGAGATCATGACCTGAGCCAAAGTCAGATGCTTAACTGAGCCACCCAGGCATCCCTGAACTGAAAATTTTAATATAGGCTTTCAAAAGCAGACTTGAGCAAACTGAACCAAGAATCAGCAAACTTGAGCAAAACATTAAATATCTACTCAGAGGAGCAAAAAGAATCTTGTACATTATTTCACTTGTAGTCTCATGAGCTATAGAACTCAGAAGGAGAAGAGAATGAGAAAGGGACAGAAAATGTGTGTAAACAAATAATGGCTTGAAAACTTCCCATATCTGGTAAAAGAAATCCAAGCGCATATTCATGAAGTCCAAAGGATCCCCAAATAATTTGCAAGTTGAGATCTACGGCAAGACACATTAAAAAGTCAAAGTAAAATTTTCGTTAGCAGCAAAAGAAGAGGCCTATAATATACAAAGGAGCCCAAAAAGAACCTTGCAGATTAAAAGAGTAGGCTAATGTGGAAGTGAAAAATTACAAACAAAAAATACCTTATCAGCAAAGCCATCCTTTAGAAATAAAGGAGAGATAAAGATGTTCCCAGACAAGTAAATGTTGAGGAATTTAACCACTCGAGCTGCCATACAAGAAATGTTAAAAGGAGTTATTCATACTGAAGCAAAAGGACACTAATCAGCAGCATGAAAACATAAAAACTCATTAGTGAAGGTAAGTACATAGTCAAATGCAAAATATTCTTATACTTTAATGGTGTTGCATAAGCCACTTTCTACTCTAATATAAAAGTGAAAAGAATTTAAAATGACAACTATAATAATTTGTTAGTGGATACACACTAAAAATATGTAAGTCATAACACCAATAACAAAATGTTGGGAGAAGTACAACTGTAAAATTTTAGTATGTAATCAAAATTATTTTCAGGTTAAACTAGACTGTTACAAGTAGTTTTATGTAAGCCTCATGGGAAATAAAAAATCTTGTAAATATACAATATACCAAGAAAAAGGAATTAAAGGATACCACTAAAAGATTAAATCACAAAGATTTACAAAGATTGTAAGATAGGAAGATAGGAAGAAGTTGCTTTCTACCTATATTGTAGTTCCTTTGTTACTAACAAATGGCAATGATGAGTCTTCATCTATCAATAATTAAATCGATGAAATTTCCCAAATAAAACACATAGAGTGGTTGAATGATTTTCTAACTCCAATCCTGTACTATGTATACAACTCATGTTAACTTTGAGGACATATATAGGAGAAGGTTGAAGCGTTGGAAAATGTTATTCCACACAAATGATTATCAAAATAGAGCAAGCCTGACTAGTCTTAGACAATTAGACTTTAAGTGAAAACCTATCAAAGGAACAGAGAAGGTTTTTATAATGATAAATGGGTTAATTCTTTAAGAGAAAATAACAATTATAAATTTGTATGCACCCAGTATTGGAGTCCCTAAATATATAGAACAAATATTAACAATTATAGGGGCACCTGGGTAGCTCAGTGGGTTAAAGCGTCTGCCTTCAGCTCGGGTCATGGTCTCAGGGTCCTGGGATTGAGCCCTGCATCAGGCTCTCTGCTCAGCGGGGAGCCTGCTTCCTCCTCCTCTCTCTGCCTGCCTCTCTGCCTACTTGTGATCTGTCAAATAAATAAATCTTTAAAAAAAATTAACAATTATAAAGGGAGAAATACACAGATCTACAATAAGAATAGGGAACTTCAATACCCAATTTTCAACATTGGGTAGGTCACTCAAACAGACCATCTGTCAAATACACTGGACTTGAAATTACACTTTAGGTCAAGTGTACTTAATAGACATATATAATATATTCCACTGAACAGCAGTAAAATGCCCATATGTTAAGCCACAAAACAAGCCTTCAGAAATACAAAAGGATTGAAATCATATCCAAGGATTGTTCCTAACCATGTTCTGGTTCCTAACCAGAAATCAATATCAAGAACACTGAAAAATTCACAAATATGTGGGAATTGAACAACAGTTCTGAAGTAGTCCTAGGGAGAATCGAGAGAGATCATGAAAATGGAAACACAGTACACCAAAACTTAGGGAATGCAGCAAAAGCAATTAAAAGAGGGATCTTGAAAGTGATAAATACATAAAGAAAAAAGAAGATCTCATAAGTGGAATTTAAGAAACAAAACAGATGAACCTAGGGGAAGGGAAGGAAAAACAAAACAGAGGGAGGCAAACCATAAGAGACTCTTAACTATAGGGAACAAACTGAGGGTTGCTGAGATAATTGAGTGATGGGCATTAAGGAGGGTACTTGATGGAATGAGCACTGGGTGTTACATGCAACTGATGAATCACTAAACTCTACCCCTGAAATTAACCATACACTATGTTAACTTATATACTATATGTCAAATAAGAAAAGATCTCCATTAAAGAAGACCAAAGTTAGCAGAAGGAAATCATAAAGATGAGAGAAGTTAAAGCAATAGAGACCATAAAGGTAGTAGAAAAGATCAATAAAATGGTTTCTTTGAAAATAGCTAGAATAAATAAGAAAAAAGACTAATAATAAAGGCATATCCTTACAATACCACAGAAATATAAAGGACCAAAAGAGACAAATATTAACCATCACATGCCAACAAATTGATTACCTAGAAAACAATGGTCAAATTCCTAGAAACATACAACCTACCAAGACTTACTAGTGAATAAACAGAAAATCTGAACAGATCAATAGTGAGTAAAGATACTGAAT